ACCAAACCCTTTGTATTCCTTTTGTTAGCACTTAGAACATAAAGAAATTAATCTTTCAGGCTTTTGATTAATTGCTAGAACCACTAATTATTGATCAGCTAAAAGAGCAGAAAAACTAGGTTAAAATGGTCCATATTTTACCACGCTCTGGCAGAGCAAGAGTGCACATGGATTACTCCCAACAATAGCTCATTCCTAGCACTGTTAGTGAAAAATGATGCACAGGAGACGATGGGGTTATCTCTGTTTGCTTTGCTTCAGTTTCCAGCACTGCTGCTTCTTTCCTACGGGAAGGTGTGGATTAGGCCTAAGGCAGTTCTAAGCAAAAAGTCTGAGAGAATCATCAATGATTAATATTCCAGATCCAAACATAGCAGGGTAGATGGAAGCATTTAGAAAAGGAATAATGGAAAGTAAAACTTGAGGTTAGTAACAATTTAGCAGATCCTTATCAAGTGTACACTTGATTCAGGGAAAGAATCAAAAAAGATGAGGTCCTTGTCTTTGGGTAGCTCAGTGTGCTGAGGAAGCCAAACATGAAAAAAAAATAATTTCAGTAGATTGTAGATAAATATCCACAAAGGTGAGCACAGTTTCAGAAGAGGCTGAAATTTTTGCATAGCCTTGTGCTTGGTAGTGTTCTCAGTGGTGTAGAGTGGATATAAACCCTAGAGTTAAAACTGTATGTCCCTATCTGAGCCCCTATTCTTAGAGTCAAACAACCAGATGTCTTCGGGAGATCATATCTTTAGTTGTTAGAGACCTTTCAGTGTCTCAATATTCTTTTCATTTATTATCATAGTGAAGGTTTTCATGTTAATTCTTGATTTTATTAATATTTATGGGGCACACAGAGCTGTACTAGGTGCCAGAACATAACAATAACTAAGAGACAGTCCCTGACCTCAAGTTGCTCACAGTCTGGAAGGACTGAATGGAAATCAGCAAGAAAGCAGGCACAAGTGCAAGAGAATAAGTAATGTCCTAGAACTATGCAGACAGTGGAATGAGAACGTGGTAAAGACACTCACATCCATCTGCAGGAGGGAGGAATAGCTGCGTAGGCCTTTTTGAATCAAAGCTTCTCGGATAAAGCAGGTATATTTCCAAGAAAAGGCATTCCATGGAGATAATTGTCTGTGTAGTGGTAGAAGAGCATGGTATGCACAACCATGCAAGCTTACCTTATAAATGAACACAAAAGTGGAGAAGAGTAGAAAGTGCATAATGGCAATCAAGGCTGCCCCAATCCTTGTCTTCAAGGAGCACCTGAAGAGTACTTACAGATCAGTGGAATAATCAGACTTTTAAAGAAGAGATACCACTTGACAACAACAGCGGAGACTGAAGTCAGGGATAGCAAGGTACTGCCATAGCTATCCAAGTGAGATATAAAAGAGGCCCATCCTACGGAGTGCAGCAGAAGAGATTGGCTTGTGGGTGGTATATGAGATGTTAGCTTGCCTCCGAGCTTGACTGGGTACACAAGGTTATCAGAAGGAGAACCTAGATGCAGGTCTGGATTCTGGTGTGCACTAGTGGGTGTAAGTAGGGGTGTCATAATGCAGAGAAGAGAGGCTTGGGGGTAATGATTTCAGCTTTTTGCTTTCAGAGTACTGAGGTATGTGTGAGAGGTGCAGAAGGTGATCTGGACATAGGGACAAGAGATATACATTGGAGCATTATCAGCATATAGGTAGCAAATGAAGCCCTGGGTCAGGAGACAGAGGAGTAATTGGCAAAAAGACAAGAAAGGCAGTTTGAGGATATGTGGTAAAGGGTCTGAATGATTTTAGGAGGCTTTATAAGGTGAGACTGCTTTGTCTAAGGAGATTGTTCTGCTAGGACTTGAATCAGAGTCACTAAAATTAGCATTTGTGGAACATGTTCTGTCCTGACATAGGAGGACGATAGTGAACCAACCAAGCAAAATTTGTCTTTTCCTGTAAGCAGCTTGTCAACACAGGTGGAGAATATCATGCATTTAATTACTTTCCACTGCAATAAGGGGCACAAAAAAAAGTAGTGAGGCGTACATTAAATTGGTCTGTGGGGTCAGAAGCAGCCTTGAAGAAGTGACATGTCAGCTGGACCTCAGTAACAAGGGAAGGGATATAAACAGCATTTCAGGGGAGAGGATTTGAGGACCTGGAGATGCCTTTGTGGGACAAGCTCAGGGCCTGGGTGCTTGAAGTGAGCTAATGATAGAAGGCACTGCATCTTCATGAGCTTTGCAACAGCCAAGTTTCCCCACCATAGGCAGCTCCCTCAAGAGCCCAGGCATGTGAATCCAGGGCTGCTGCCCAAGAGAGCATCTTCATGAGTAGCAGGACGCACACGTGGGCAGTTCTCTATCAGCCACCGAGCCTCAGAGCTTGTTGCAGAGCAATCATCAACAGTGAGGTGATTTTGTGCACAGTGAAGACAGAGTTTCCTGGATCTGGAAAGGAGCTGTTTAAGCAGAAAAGAGAAACAAAAAGTGGTTGAGCAGCCAAGAAATCAATCTGTTTTGGTCAAAACAGCTCACCTGGGAGTATAAAATTGCATTCAGCGGCAGCAGCAGAACGTGCCTCTTCAGAGCTTGGCAAGTCTAGGAAACAGCTCCAGAGTCAAAATCTGGCCTTGGCATATATTGGCCCTGAGTGGTTCCTTTGTGAGTACAACAAACCAATTGGGAAAATAACCTTGGAAGAAAACTCAATTGATTTTTCAAAGAGAGCAAGAACTATGAAAATTTATCTGGAGTCTATTAAAGCTATCCTAGATGGCTTGTAAGAGAAACTAGATTGTAATTCCATTTCGAAAACACTTTCGTTTCTCTGCGTTTTTGATCTTTGACTTCGTTCTCATCAGATCACTTTATTAGGTGAGAAAGTGGCGGATCAGGGGCTCCAATTCCTTGTTGTTTCCCACTTTTTGGTGCTGAGTGCATCTGCATATTCCTTCTTGAGGAAGGAATACCTCGCTATCCCTGATTTCAGTCTGAGTGCATCTTCACATTCCCCCAAAATGCATGTTCTGAAATAATAAGCTGTCGTGCCCAAAGTAATGGTTTAAAGGTTAAATGTAGGTTCTTCCAAGTTTTGTGGCTAACAGAAAATTAAGAAATGTCCAAACTTTAATATCTAGCTAGCACTTATTAATTATAGAATATTTAAGCTTCTACTTGCTTATCTGAAAAATGGGGATAAATAAACCTACTTCACTTACTGAACGATGTGTTTTAGAAAGTGAATGGAATAGTGCAGAAAATAATACTTTCAAGCTGTGATGTCGTTCACACAGTAGTACAATGAAATTGTTCATATGAAAACTCAAAAATGTATGTCTCCATGAAATTTTGTTTATGTGTTCTTCATTGTACTCTTTTCTCTTAATTTTTATACACACACACACACACACACACAAGAATTACATCACAGACATTGGAAGGGCTGTCCAAACTCTCCCATTTCCTGGAAAAGAAAATATTTATTTTATAACTAGTAAAACATTTTAATGGTCAAGTGAATTTAAAATCATCCATCTAAATTGTATTGTATGTATGGCAATTTTTATTTCATTTAATGATAAGGTAAAAATATAAATTTTATATGAAGATAGTTGTATGTTAGTCCACAAGGGGTTCTATATGAAAATATCAAGGGCAAGGTGGCTTAAACAACTCAAATTTATTTCTCACAGTTCTGGAGTCTTATTTTGTTCAAGCTGTTATGAGAAAATACTTTCAACTAGGTGATTTACAAACAACCAATACTTATTTTGTATAGGTCTAGAAGCCAGAAAGTCCAAGATAAGGCACCAGCAAATCCAGTGTCCAAAAGGGCCTGCTCCTCATAAACGGCATCTTCTGTGGCAGAAAGGGACAAACAACCCTCCTTGGTCTCTTTTGTAAGGGTAGTAATTCCATTCATGAAGCCTTCAGGACCTAATGGCCCAGTATCTTGATACTATTGCATGAGGGCTCAACATATCAATTTGAGGGTGATCCACCTGTGAAAACCCTAAGATTCATAAGTTCTGGCAGGGTTAATTTCTCGTGAGGACTCACTTTCTGGATTTCCTACTGTGAGCTCACATGGCAGAGAGAGAGAGGGAGATGTTTGGTGTCTCTTAGAATACTTTCAAATCAGGGCTCCATGTTTATTGTCTCATTTAGTCTGAATCACCTCCCTGACAGAGCCATCTCCTATTGAGTCACACTGGTGACTCAGGGCTTTAATGTAAGAGTGTTGGGTTTGTAGCAAGTTGGAATAAAAGAGAAGAAAATGTTCTAAAAGAATTGCATGGCATAATCATTGTTGATGAATTAGCAGAAACTCCATGGGCCAACACGTAGTAACAGTTATATTGAATTTTTATCTGTTAGGTTTATGACTTAGAAACACTAACACTATATAAACTACTGGAGCATACTTTGTGAAATTAGGCCTATTTTTTCTCTTCTTCATTTTACACTAAATGAGCTCTTGACAAGGTCTAAATGTTCCCCCTGCCTTCCAAGATTCTTAAATTGAAACCCAATCCCCAGGATGGTGGTGTTAAGAGGGTGACTTTGGGCAGGTTATAAAGGACATGCCCTCCTGAATAGGATTAGTGTCCATATAAAAAAAGACCTCAGAGAGCTAGCTTTCCCCTTCCATGCAGGATATAGTTAGGAGATGCTTTCTATGAGGAACACACCCTCCCCATATACCACTGGCTTGATGTTGAACTTCCTATCCTTCAGAATTGTGAGAAACACATTTCTGTTTTAAAGTCAACTATCTGGTAACTTGAAAGCAGAAACTGACTAAACGAGATGTGCTCCCTTACTAGCCTTTCAGAAATGGTTTCACTACTGGTTTTGGGAAATTCCCTCTTTTATGGGTGAACTATGAAAAACTTAAATAGAGATGGCCTAGTGTACGTTCAACCTTTGTGGGGCACACAGGGAGAGGACTAGTGAGAATGGCTTTTATCCCTTTTGACTGCATCGTGCTTTCTTTTTCAAACCTCAGGTCACTGTGACAGATGGTGGCTCTTCTCCAAAACAATCAACCATTTGGGTAGTGGTTCAGGTTCTGGATGAAAATGACAACAAACCCCAGTTCCCTGAGAAGGTCTACCAGATCAAGCTACCAGAACGAGATCGAAAGAAGAGGGGAGAACCCATTTACAGGGCTTTTGCATTTGATAGAGATGAAGGCCCCAACGCAGAAATCTCCTACAATATTGTAGATGGGAATGATGATGGAAAGTTCTTTATTGACCCTAAAACTGGCATGGTTTCTTCCAGAAAGCAATTTACAGCAGGGAGTTATGACATCCTAACGGTAAGGTCCTCTGAATTCCAGTGACATTGATGGGGGGATACTTTCTTATTTATGTGTATTTCTTGGAGTCATGAATATTTAGAGTAGAAAATGCAGCCAAGTAGCTGTGGAAAACTTTGAGGGGGAGTAGGCAAGGACAAATGAGGATTCTTGCCTGTTTTGGTGATGTTTCTAAATAATGAGTTTCCTTGGGTTGTTGCACATCAGCAACCTTTCCCACTCCCACAGACTGCAGGAGCCTGTGTATTCAGCCTCACTTCCTAAAACTTTAAATCATTCCCAAGGCACTGAATATAGCTCTAAAGCTGAGGGTAAGGGCAACAGTATAATGACATATCCCAGCTGTCACTCCACATGTCACTCAGCATGCCCCCAGACTTTCCAGAGAAAGCAAATTTTGTAATTGTTGACAATGTGATAGGACATGAATTTCACCATGCAAATTATAAGACATAAATCATAAAAGTGCTTATTTTGTAAAAAGAATTTAAGAAACTCAAATAAATAGTGACTAAATTTTTCATTGTTACAAAAATAAACATAAATATGAGTATCATTTCAGCTAGTAAACTGTTGCCCTTAATGTGCCCATTTGCTTCCCCACCAGAATCACTTTAGACATAAAGTGCTATCCTCCTGGTATAGGGGAGTGGCCATCCTTATAAGTGATGGGAACTTTCCAGAGTCCCAACACCTGTCAAGAGTTGGTGCCATCCACTACTCTTGTCTTTGTCCTCACCTTCCTTGCTGTATGTGTTAAGTCCTTTTTTATGTTAAAGGATGGTCTTATCTTTTATTTCCTATAATTATATTCTTTTCCCTGCTCAGAAACATATCCAGAACATTGTGGACAGAGACAAGAAGTTCAGTCATACACCTAATCTGATTCCTTATAGCATAACCATGAATCTCACCTCTGTGTGACACTTGAAAGGGAATAAAGTTCACTGTGAATCTCTATTCATTTCTGAAGGATATGCATAGAAATGTGTGGTAGGGAGCAGTTCTGTGGCACTTGTTTGGAAATCTTTGAGGATGGGACAGACTATCTTAAGCCCTGTTGGTACCTAGCCTGGATCCCCTCTACCAGACTTGTTCATCTATCCTCTACATGCTGTGAACATTGGCTGCTAGGGCTCACAGCTGCCCTTTTATCTAGAGGTGATTGTTGGCCAAAGAGATTTTACAATTCCATCCCCAGTCCAGGAGCCCACAAACAATGTCTGACTGACAACTGAATGTAAAACTCCAGCCCTCACTGCCTTAGGGTTCACATCACAGAGATCTATCATAGTTTCAATAAATCATGATTCAGAGCTCCCATCTCATCCCAGAGTCAGCAAGCACCACATTTTTGCTTAGCAATTAGCCCCGCCCATTCTGATATTATTTCATTTCTTCTAAGCTCTCTTCCCTCAACACCAATTTGTATTCAAATTCCTGTCCCAGCCTCAGAGATTCTGACTCAAAAAATGTATGTTTTACTACTCTATCCCATGGACACTTTCTGGAACAAATGGTTCTCAATGAACATATCGCACAAGGATGCTGAGTTGTTGTCTTTTCAAAGGCTATCACTATTAGTTCTATGCCTATAAATTTTACTTTGCAAATATAATATTATAAAATTAAATAATATTTATTAGTTTTATGTCAGTGTTCTCTGCTCTTTGGATTTTTTGAGCCTTCTATTTGAGTGCAAGATGCCACAGCAGTTCATCATAGCTGAGTGAGGAGACTTGCTTTCCTCAGCCATTATGGCAGCCAACTCAGGACACAAAGAAGTCATGCACATTATCCCCCACCACCACACTGCCTCCAGGAGCCCACGCTGCTACCAAGAGAATTCCTCTTCACCCCTTCAAACCTGGTGTAACTGGACAGTCTTAGAGGCAGTCAACCCGAAGTACTCTTTCCCATGTTTGTACCCATCACCTTTCAGGGAACTATGTAAGCGGGGTGCATCTCCAGCATAAAGCAGAAGGAAAAAGCTGCAGAACACACACACTCACTTCACATATATCACTGACACATAACTAGGAATTCACAATGCACCTTACTCCCTCTCAAGTGTCCTCACCAGAAATGAGGCTCTGATTCATGCTGTAAGAAATCAAATTAGTGGGCTGGGAATATTGCTCAGCAGCATAGTGCCTGCCTGGCAAGCACAAGGTCCTCAGTTCGATTCCTGGTACCAAAAAAAGAAAAAAAGAAATCAAGTTAGCTATTCTTATTCACGTAAACTATATAATTCACGTGTATAAAACATGACACACTGTAAGTGCGACATCAGTTTTTCAAGGTTTCCATACCCATAAAATTGGTGGTGGCTCAGATTCGCCTCTGGCAAACACGGTATGAGCCTTACCCCAAACTAGGCTGTGTCCCCAGCAGTCTACAATCCAGTCCTCCCAAGTCTCTACTCCTCTCTTGCCCTTGCCTGCACTGTGCTAAAGGCAGACTCTGGATCCCACACCATGCGAGTGACCACCTAAGCGTCTGCAGAACCGAGTCCTAAGACGTCTTTCTGTCTTCTCTCTGTGAGTAGATAAAGGCCGTGGACAATGGCCGCCCACAGAAATTCTCCACGGCTCGCCTCCACATTGAATGGATTAAGAAACCACCCCCTTCACCTGTCCCGCTGACCTTCGACGAGCCGTTTTATAACTTCACAGTAATGGAAAGCGATAGAGTGACCGAGATTGTGGGGGTAGTGTCAGTGCAGCCGGCCAACACCCCGCTGTGGTTTGACATAGTCGGTAAGTTTAAGTCCTCAGGAGGAGGATGGGGATATAGTGTGAGCTGTTGGGAGCAACTAGCCAAAGGGGTTAAAAGGAAAAGAAAGAAAAAGCAAACAAAATTTTAAAAATCCTAACAATTACTGCTAAGATTAAAACATGTATAGCGCTGGAATGCAAAAGAGCCAGTAAAATGAATAATCGACCTGTGCTTTCGTTCCGACTCTGTAGCTAAGCTGAACAGAAAGTGCTCTCTGGCTGGATTTTCCATAGTACGTTATTTACTGCAATCTTAATGTCTTTCTGTGTGTCATTTAAATTCTATTGTCACACTTGGCTAATCTCATTTCTAAATGTATTGATGGTACTAGACTTGCTGTCCTTCATTTCTCTCTTTTTCTTCACCTTTTTTCTGCATTCTGTTCTTTTTTTTCTGCTCCCGACTGCCCTGCTTCAAGGTGGCAAGCATGCTCGAGAGATGTTCTATATTCTACAGACAGCTTGTGGGCAGAACTGTTCAACAGAAGGTACCCTTAGTGCAAACACATTTGCTAAAATACAGCTATCCAATCTGCCTTTTATGGTTTTTCTTTCTGAAGCAAATTGAATTACATCTTTCATAACTGCCTGTGACAGGCTGAAGTACAGCCCACAGATTTCATACATGCCTCTAACAGCTATTGCATTACTCGTACCAATGACTCCTTTGTTTGAGATTTGGTTGGGGTTTGGGGGGTTGATTTTTTTTCTTTCCTTTGAGGTATGTGAGCTTTTTGTTGTTTTGTTTTTATCTTTTCATAAGTTGGTTTATTTAACTGGGCCTTTTCCAATTGAAAAATAAATTAAAATGTATTCCAGCCCCTCTGTTTTACAGCATTGGTGCCATTCATAGACCAAAAAGCCCCATCAGAAGAGTCCCCTGGCTGCTGTCCACAAAAAGAAAGGAAGGAAATGGAACATAGATATATAGCCAGTAAGCCTCCCGCACAAGCTGAATAGCGAAAGCAGATGGAAGTGTGCAGGACAGACTTGGGGAGCCAACTTTTAAATTCCTTGGAAGAAAGCAAGCAAGCACGCCAGGCTGCAAAAAGAAAGGGCTAAACCGCCCTGCAGCCCTCCACACACCAGCAGGGAGAGCACTGGAGAGGAAATGCGCGCCCAGGAGCGGGAAACAAAATAGGCTGTTGCTAAGAGGAGAGCAGAGAGTGTGCGCGCCCTGATCTGAGCTGAGCTGAAGCTGACTTCCCACGCTTCTCCGTGGGAGGCAGAGAATCCAGGAGAGAGTTGATCTGGGGGAATCATTTCCTTCCAATGTCATTGCCTGAGCAGGATGGGCAGGAACCTGCCTCTCCTCCAGGATGGCTAGGTCTGGGGAAAGGATTAGAATGTTCCACATCTGTTTTAATGAGGCACCGAAAAAGAATGTACCATGGCTCCAAATTAAACCTCAGTAGAGAGTCTTCTGAACTTCCAAAAGGAAAAGGCTTTCTCTCTACAGATCTTATTTTATGCAGTGATGGTAGAGCATCTTTATTTCACTTAACTGACATTAATCACACCATGCCCATATATGACTTCTTCATCTCGATTTAACATACCTGAAATAGAACCTGTCCTGTTCTGTGGAGGACATCTTCACACTTCATCTGCACAGTAATCCTCACCTTACTAGGGTATTATCGAAAGCGGTTTCTTCCTTCTTGGTGCAATGAAGTGTTGCCTGTGTCACCTCACTGAGTTGTCTGCTGTCTGCTGTCTGCACAGCTACCCTCGGTCATTCCTCCACTGCCACCTTAGTAAGGGTCACGGAAAATGTATCTCAATTTTAACATATTTACCTGGTTCTGGGTCTCCAGGGATCTGTGCAACAATAGTTTTTGATGTAACTCAAAGAAGAGTGCAGTAGGAACTGACATGTTCTGTCCTGAGAGATAGGATGAGTTGCCCGCTCTCATTAGCTATGGATTTATCCTTCTTCCTTCCCACTCCACTTTGCACATGCCCCCACTGCCTACCAGTGCCTGTTTTCTCCTTGGCCTGATCTATGCACGAAGCCCCCGGACCCACAGCACATTCTGCCTGCCACCCACATGCCCCGGGATGCTCATGCTTGTGCTTACTTCAGGAATCTTACGAGCACACATTTCCTAATACTAGCTGACCAGCCTCCTGATACTAGTCACCCAGGTCCAGTTTGGGACTCATCAGCATTGCTACATGTGTGTTCATGTGTAGATGAGCACACCCAAGAGTGATGCATGCAGTCTTACTTGCAAGTTTTTCATGTGAGTATTTTTGGTGCTATTGTATGTTTCATTTGTTCATCCTGTCAATATTCTTAATCCTCAAGGTCAAAACCAATGTCCCCCTCATCCCTTCCTCCTGCATGTGCTTCTGCTGCTATCTCCAAAGGATGTCAAATAAACTATGGTGATCCATGGAGATATCCCAGGCAGTCAATATGTTTATATTACTCATGGCCCCTGAGACCAATGCAAGATCAGCATGACCGTCCACTACAGAAAGCTTAGGATATCTGACAAAATGAGTACATCACTGGACTAAGAAGAGAGCACTAGCTCATAACGTGAGAGCCCTGATGGAAGAGGACTTTGGGCTGTCCAAATAAATCCAGAAAGCATTATCCAGGACATGGCATGAGCTTTCTTGTTTCTTCATCTCTCAGTTTTCATGTTTGCTCATCTCTGTGTTCTAAGTGCTTCACTTCCCTACAACCCCGCAGTCTCAAGGAACTGAATGGTTCTTGAAATGAATACTTACAGAGTTGTCCCTCCGGTCTAGATGATCCCACCACAGAGACTTCACTGTAAATCTGCTAATATCTAACTCCTTTTACAAATTGAGCTTACCGGGACAGATGCCCAAACAGAACTTGATTTTATTTCCATCCCCACATCCAGCCAACAATATCTTGAAAAGCCAACTTTTTATTTCATTGTACAAATGAAATCCTTTCCCCAGGTGCTGGTTGCTTTCAATACTGATATGGTCTTCCTTTCCCCAAATCTTCCTTTTGAAAATCTTTTGAATCTGTCAGAGCCATTGTTTTCAATCATCTTTACCCTTCTCTAAATAAATATCTCTCATTTTCCTTATTATATACAGATGTTTCATTCTTATTTTCAGGATTTCTTGCTTATTTCCATGGAAACTTTCATCTCTTTCCTTCCTTACTCCTTACCTAAGCATCTTCTTTGACCAAACTAACGTAGAGGGGACAGAGAGAGAACAGTGCCACTTAGAGCTTCAGACAGCAGTGTACCATACACAAACACAAAGAAAAAGCATGAATATAAAATGTCAACATAAATCTGAGATGAAATCTCAAATTAAAGTTCAGCTCTTGCTCAGGTAAACACTCTTATGACTCCACCAAGGGGAGTCAAGGTTTGATCCTTTTGTAGGCCAGGTACATTCAGACACTTAGCTAGACCCTGAGATACGAAGTACACAACATTCTGCTCCAGCTCAGGCAGCTTACAAATACTCTCATTAATGAATTGTTGGTAAATACACAGAAATAGTGTTTCAGCATGCTTTGCCTCTCAGAGTATAATCTCCTCATTTTCCCATTTGCAAATGTACTTGATTCTAACTTAACTATATTTTTCCCTCCAACCATGATATGGATTCCCAAAATTTCTGAAGTGAGCAAGATTTTGTTCCTGAGCCTTGACCCTGTAGCAGAGATGGGCCAGCCACTTTCTCTTGCCTCCAGAGCAACCACTACTTACGCTATTATGTAGCTAGACTCTCTTTACCTTCCAGAAACAGAAGCCCTACACATGACTGCCTTGAGAAAGCTGTAATTAAAAGGAAGCATAATAAAGTTCAGCTGTTCTGTTTAAACAGCCCAACGCACAGCATGTTCCTTCTCTGTGTTAAAAGGAAAAGAAAATTAAGGGAACAAAAATAACCCACAATGCTTTGTGGCTTTATCACATATCTTCACACTTCTCAGGAGACTACAATTTCAACTCAGCAGCTCCTTGAATTACATACTCGCCAGCATGCACACAATCTGGTTCACAGTTCAGTCCCTGAGTCTTCATGCTGATGACAAATATTTGAATTGTAAAGGCCACCATTCTTACACATTTCAAACAATCCTTCTGTATCCACAGTTTGATGGTGGAGGATGTCCCATCCAGTTTTTAGCTTCTCACCACATTAGAATAGAAAAAAAAAAATGTTTTTCCTTGTAGATAACTGAAATATCTTTGTTAACACCCAATATGTAGAAGTAAAAAGCTATTCTTTGAGACTGATTCTCAGATGGCTAGTGCCAGGACATAGATCCAGCACTAACTGGAATCTCTTCTTGTGTTGTAGATGCTTCAAGGCCACCTTGGCCCTCGGTTCATTGTATGTTCTTCACACCTTGGACTCTGGGTTGTTGCTATCTCATAAGCTTACACCTGCTTCCTGATCCCACCTGCCATGCACCTATGGGTTATTTAAAATTGGGTCAAGTCTGCAATTTAAACGCTGATAACACTAGCAGTGGCCTTATTCTCAGACTAGAGCTTGGGTATCTCTGGATCTTTCCTTTAAAAGGGACTACATTTCTTCATCACAAAACTGTCATTCACTTCTCCTGGGAGAAGCCATGTTCATTTCTAAGACAACTGTTCTTCCATCAAAGTGACTTTTGCTCAAAGTCATTCAACTAATATTTAGCTCTTCATTTCACCTACTCATCCCTTTCTCCATAATGTGATCCCACACGGGCCTGTCTTCCTCTGTAGCAACAGTGTCACCTGTCGAAACACATGTGAAAAAGCTTCAGAAAATGTAGTTAAAATCCTGGAAACACTCCATATAGCAACTGTGTGAAGAAATTGAATGTTAAACCAGATTCTGAAAGGGATTTTCCTTGCTCTGCTCTTTCCTGACCTCTACCTGGTGTCAGGAAGCTTTCCATGGAAATATCTTTTTCAGCCTAGTGCTGTGCTTGCTTCATTCCAAAGCAGAAAATTATTGCTGAGCACACCATAGCTGTTTAACGTTTCTCCTGAAGTGTGGTGCACGTGCTGGACGTGAACGGACAGCTTCTGTCCAACTCCCCTAATTCACTGAGATTCAACCACTCAGTGTTTTGGAAGATTCTCCTATAACACTTTTTTTTAATAACTACTAGATTTGGGATGGTATTTTTAAAACTACACGCGCAGTGGAATGGAGTCACTTGTTAGGAAAGGGATCTGGAAGCTTCTCTGATTGGGAGGTTCGTAATTTTCACCATTCAGTCCCTTTATGGAGAGATGGTGGAGCTTGAACACATTTCTAAAACTTGACTTAATCATGGCCCAGTGCCCTGCTAGCACCTTCAGGCAGTGCCTCCTGGCACAGAGTGTTTTCATTCAGGTCCTATTTTAAGGTCTTTTTTAGGACATCCCTACGAGCTGTGTTTAATTTTAGAAGCCAGTAGAACTCCAGTGCACCACTTTGGTTCTTTGTTTACTCTATTACACCTGTCTTGACCAAAAATGGTCAAAGAGAAATGTCCCTGATGTCAATTATCTGCTATGTGGGCTGTTCACAACCTTGCTTTTAACCATTTCTGCCACACACCCCTGCAGCAACGCTCAGGCTGTGACATGTCTAATTTTCCACTTTGTTAAAACTCAAACCAGCTCTGCAGTGTCCTTCCCTTCCCTACTTTTTATTTAGCCTCACGCTGTCGCCCCAAACACACCCTGGCTTTGCATGTTCTGTTACTGGCTCTGAGGAAGCACACCTTGTTTAAACAGAACGCCTCCAGTGAAATGGGCTCCTTCCATTTGGTATTTTTACCCCAGATGATTTGGATATAGTTTCCTACAAAAATGGAATCACCTTCCAGGCTAAATAGGAGCCTGAAAAATGAGCCCTGAGGGAGAAATACGGAGTCATTTATGAAATGGGATGCTTAAGTGTAGGTTATTAAATTGTGCGGGGGTTGATGGTGAACTGCTGGTCTGGATTCTGTGTCCCTTGTCAGAAATTCATTTGAAAACTCAAGGAGGATCTTGTTTTACATGAAATCTTTGCTTAACTGGGAGCAAATGTCCTGGAAATGAGTATCAGAGACTGCGAGCCATATCGGTAGACTGAGAAATACCCTGTGGACTCTCTGTTAAGTGGGATCACTCCTCCTCCTTTAAGGGTTTCCAGTCTAGAATTTTGAAACAGCAAAAGTGAATGAAGGAGAGAAAGGAGCATATACACTCCCCCGACACACACAAAGAGGAAAAAAAGAGAACTGTAAAAAATAACAGCCATAAAACTTGCCAAAAATGTAATTTGATACAAAAAAAGACTAAGAAAAAGCACACAGTCTATATGACATATGTAAACATGTGAATTTTACACAACTGCGTACATGGAAGGGTTGTGTTTTTATGTGTAGCATTCTGAGGAAAATGCAGATCTTAATCAACAACTACACATAAAATTGTTCTTATTTAAGCAGTAGCTAAAACTGGAAATATTTTCTTCCTTGTTCTTTAAGTTTTATTTGCTTTGGTCTTTAAACTTTTTTTATAATTTACATAATTTCTATTTTGACTTGACCTGTGAATTTTTACTTTCCAAAATAATTAATACTAGAGGATGATCCTTTCCCTCATCAAAAAAATAATAATAAATCCTCAGATTTAAGAAAGTAAACATCTTATATAAAAATATTCTGAAGGTGATTTAATAATCACTAGAAACAGCTGTAGAAGTTCATTCCTCGTCTTTCTCCCAAGTTTTATGAGGCAATGTTACATGCGTTCTTGGAAAGTTTCCATGACAAGCTTTTTTCAAATATATCACTTGATAGCAAATAATTTTCCTTTGTCCACTAAGACCATTATGCCAGATACTTAAACTAGTATTCCATTTTATTTCATGTGGTTACCATAAAACATTCTTCTCAAATGACAAGCAGTGTCCTAAGCTCACTTTTCTTTTCAGCCTAGACTCCCCTGCCCACTTTTGCTTATCCTACTCTTCAAAAGAGTTTTTGAGTTAATCATTAGTGCTTCTCAGTACATCAATTAAAGATATTAATTGCAAGATGAGTCTCTTTTTAGATGAAATTTTTGAACAGTATGTCATTTCTAAGCAGTGCTCTGGTACCCCTGTATCTCCATAGCTTTAATTAAATGTCAAGGACAATTATGTTCTCTCTAGCAATTAAATAATTTTAAGTGTATATGACAGCTGCAAGCAATAGGTATCTGAAATATGTATGACCATTTTCTTAGAGTAAGCTATATCATTTATTGGGTGTCATGTACATCAAATTTTAGCAATTCAGGCAAAATTCTCCTGTCCCTTAACTCATATACTCATTTATAATTGTAATATCATAGAAGTGAATTATTCATTGATCAGCAAAAAGAAATGCAAAAAATGTAGAATGTAAAGTCTAGTTTTCTTTTATAAAATACAAAATTCAATAAATACATTGCCCAATGTGCTATAGCTAAATAAAATTATCCAAGAAAAAAATTAGTTAACATCATGAAACTGAAGAATAAAATAAATAGAGCTTGTGAACATAAACCAGTATAATTAACATATAGTTAAAACTATTCCAGTATTTATACCATTATCTTCTCTCCCTCTTAATTTTTTTCATTTTGGGAAGATCATAAGCCACACTTTGGTTCACAGAGATGGGAATATCAGTGGTAATTTTAACGATGCCTGTGTCATTTTAAGCAAGCCATCAACAATCTGTAAGTGACAGCTGGTCCAAGGGGGGAGAAAGTAAAGTTTATAAACCTTTATATAAATTGTTTTATAAGTTAGTGCAATGTAAGGTAGTATTTCCCTTACTTCTTTCCCAATTTGTAAGTTTCTCATACACTCTCTAATATTTTAGGAGAAAATTAATTCATACTGTCAAGATGGCAAAAAATATTACTATAGACATCTCAATTTGCAGATAGGGAATTTTTCATATAAAATTCATTTTTTTACTTTTTCTTATTTTCCACAGTCATAATTTTATTTCTGACATTTAACTGAGGGAATCTGAAGTCTACCAGCCAAATGTTTACCGTCAATCCTAGAACAAATGTAAAGTATCTACACATTTTTGTCAATAATAATTGAACTCTTTGTTTACTTATAACTTAGTCTGCTTTGGAAAAACAAAAGGACCTTCAAATTCATAGCACAGAAGCCACACGGGCCTGAAGGACCATTAGCTTTCTAAATATTTTGTAGTCAGTTTATGCTTCACTACTCTAACATTATCGCTAAGGTTTTTCTTTGCAATACATTCTTTTTGTGACATTTGTTATGCATTGTAGAGGCTGTATTTTGAAATATGAATTAAGTTAGAAATGAAGACATCCCATTTAAGATGTGTAAAACTGAACCATAGGGGGTGGGTACCTGTCATAAAAACAATTTTTTGTTTGTTTGTTTGTTTTTTTCCAGTATGGGGTATCAAACTAATGACCTCGCACTTGCCTGGCAGGCACTGTGCCGCTGAGCTAAATCCCCAGCCCCAAAATATTTTTATGTAAGAGTTCCCTTTAAAGATATGTGCTTCAGTAAAGGTAGTAAGATCTCAGATATACTAATCTCATGTTGTTTCTGTGAAATCATCAGGGGGGAATTTTGACAGCTCTTTTGACGCAGAGAAGGGTGTTGGGACAATTGTCATCGCAAAACCTTTGGATGCAGAGCAGAGGTCTGTCTATAACATGACTGTGGAAGTCACCGATGGGACAAATGTTGCTGTCACTCAGGTAAGAACTTACTGAATGTCAGGATGTAGAAAACTCTGCTAAAGTCAGGATTTCAAGCAATGAACACAAGGTCTAGAAAATAGTAAACAGTGTCGATAGATTTATAGTGTTTTAAAAAATCATTTTAAAGAACAACATAGAAAAAGGATTCTGTCAGTGGTATTTATAACTAGCTGCCTCTTTAAAGATATTGTGACTGTGCATGGAAGAGCCATACACATTTGTTTCTTACTCCTTTACTGTAGATTTGTCTCTGAAAACTTTTCTTGAGTTTGCAAAGAGAAAGACATCTATGTTGTCTTCACGGCATACTCTGAGATTCCTTTCCTCCTCTTTTTTCCTCATTTTCAGTCATTGAAAGTTAAAACTAGAGAATACTAAGAGTCCAAATTCCTTTTACAGACAGTGGTGGAAGTTACCCATCTAATGTACAGCTTAATAAAGAGCAAGGCCTGGGATCTGGATACCCTGCTCTCCCATGCCAGCGGCTCCGCATGGTGGCCGCACAGTGCGACCCCCTGGCTGCTGATGAGGAATGGGCTCAGAATACCGACTACGTGGCCCCACTGCTAGGGAGCTTCCTGGTGCTAACATGCAGCTCCACTTGGGGACCTCGTCTCACACTTTGTTTCTGGAGTGCAAACGGAAGGGCATTAGGAGCCAGAAGGAACAGAAAAGTTTCTGACCGTCTTCTACTGCTCAGTTCATCTTCCTAAGTGAGACCAACACAATCCTAGTTATCATTATGAGACCGACTGACCTTAACTATAAGATGTTCTATATTGTTTTGTAGCCAGAGACCTATGTAGCCCTGTTCTAACAAAGAAGACGGATGCATGCCTGTGGTGTACTTTCCTCTTCCTCTTGCTTCTCTCTCATGCCCTGGTGATCCCAGAAGGCATCACTGACTGATCAGGGCTCTTTTACTTCTTGGCCCCAGAAGAGCCCTCAGAATCCCTCTCAACACAATGCTTCAGGTAGTGAGAAGGAATTTTTGCCAACCTGTAAGAAAGCAAGTGTTGATTTGTCTTAAATATGATGTAAGCTTTTATAACTGAGCAGTTTTACAAAGGAAAGACAGAGGGCATTTCATGGGCTTGCTTATCCAATATCTTCTTAGCTTGAAGCTGTTTTAAAAATATCTGACTTTTTTCCTTTGAGTCTATTTGTAATTACAGAATAGGGAAAATTTAAAAGGAGCAATAGGGCTCATTTTTAGTGTGGCCCCTTTACTTTCCCTGTTAATGTACCCCAGAAAGGCAAGTGACTTGTATATAATAAGGCAGCCAGTAGGCAATGGTTCCTGGTCCTTTCCTGGTAACTAGGGTGACCATATGACCTTATTGCTTTAAAGAGTCTCGTTTACACCTGTTGCACTGGTATAATTATTTATAGTACTCATTTACTCTCAAATTGCCCCTATTGGGACAATAAATTGTATGATCTTCTTACATAAAACCATACTGCTTGGGGTATTTTCAAGATTAATACCTATACACATGGAAAGGACCCCATGGCTGAGGTCCTAAGGGACCTGCACAGTGTAAAAGTTTGCCCTGAAGACTAATACTACACAAACCACCTGTAGTATAGATAAGTCTTTAGTGCTAATTCACTATAAATGTGAATTTAAATAGGTTTTTAAATTAGCCATTTCTTTTTTTTTATTTTAAAGAAAATAGTACAAAAAAAGAATAGTAAAATACAAACAACACAAAACAAGGACATTAAAAATGATACAGGGTTTCAAACCAAATGATAAAGATTAATAGTGGCTGTTATATTACATATTGCTATCTTCAATGAAGTTGCTCAGGTTACCAGATGTAAGAATAGAAGATTGATCAGATCATTAAAGGGAATAGGAAAATAATAATAAAAAAGAACATTAGAGACAATACATAGTGTCACTAGGCAGGATTGTAGGAATTCACCAATGGATGCTATACTGCAAATTGTTGTCATCACATAATTGCTCAGATTACCAGATATGAGCATGCAAAATTGGTCAAAATATTTTTAAAAAAAACAAACTTTTAATCATTAACTGTTCCCCTCAACAAACCATCAGACACCAAAAGTACAGTGATGCCACCGATCCATATATACTTATAAAATGACTTAGTACTTTCTTTTTCTTCTTTCCCTCATCCTAGTTGTTCCTTCCTTTGAGCAGTTTCTTTGCCTTGCTTATTATCTATTGTACATTTTGGGTTTTATTTACTCTTTCATATTCTTACACCAGGGAGACAATATGATGTTTATACATGTGGGTCAAATAATTAGCCACTTCTTAGCATATCCAACCTCTACTTTTTAATTCTACTTAAAAGCCCAAATCATATTTGAGTAAAATACAAATAAAGCATGGAATCATATTCATTTCCAGACTTTTCTCTAGGCTTTTATACCTGTTTAATTAAATGGTATTCAGTGTGCCCAAAATGTTATGGATACTTCTTAAATATTTTTAGAATGAATATTAGATACTACATGTTCAGCAGACCCTAGATGGAGTTTTGGGTCTCTAAAGCACATAACTGATTAGTGTTAACAAAATAAAGAACAAAGAAAGAAAGAAACAAAGAAAGAAACAAAGAAACAAAGAAGGAAAGAAAGAAAAAGGAGACTCTTACTTTAGAGTTTCATTAGGATCAGATGAAAAATTATTTAACATCATTTATTCCACAGATATTTTTGCAGTTTAAACTATGGGCTAGGGGTTGTAATTGGTGGTTACAGAAATGCAGAATTTTGTAGGGGTTGTTTATTTTGTTTTGGTTTTAGTTTTGGCTTTTTGGTTTTGAATTCAGTGTTACTTGTTTGGTTTTTGAGACAAATCCTCACTGTGTTGCCCGGGCAGGTGTTGAACTCTTGAGCTTAAGGGATCTCCTGCCCATCCTTCTGCATAGCCAGGACATGGGCATTTGCTAGTGTGCCCAGCACATGATACCAAGTTTTCAGTCCAGATGACTGATATGCCTCATTTTTTTTAAAAAAAATTAATGTGCAAGTATGTATTACAAGACTTTAAATGGATATATTGTTGAATCCTGTGATTGTGATTAGATTTATTATTTTATTTTTTCTTTTTGAGACAGAGTCTCATTATGCAGTTTAGGCTGGACTTGAGCTCATTTTGTAGCCCAGGCTGGTCTCGAGTTCGCAGCAATTCTCCTGCGTCAGCCTCCCGAGTGCTGGGATTGCAGTTGTGCTCCACCACACCTGGCAGATTGTTGATTAGACTTAGATTAATATCTAGAATAATTCAAGAGTTCAAGAATTTAGGTGAACTTGTGAATTTGTGAACTTGTGAATTTAGGTGAACCCCTTCCTCCTTGAAGGGGTCTGTCTCGGTTACTTTTCTCTTGTTCCTAAGACAAAATACCCAAAGCCCAAAGTTAATGGAGGAAAGGTTTATTTGGCTCACAATTTATCAAGGTTTCAGTCCGTAACTGGCTGCCTTCAAGGCAGGGTGGCACATGGCAGAGGGGCATCATGGAGAACAGCTTATGGATCCCACAAGATAGCAAAGCAACAAGAGGGCGTAGACAAGGCGCTTTCTATGTCTTACATTGTTTCCAGGCTCCCACCTTGGGGGGGGTATAGCATTTACACCCTTAATTCTAGCCAGAATTGTGCCAAATTAATCAGTGGACTGATTTACTAATCACGCACCCTTCATCCCATCATCACGTGCTCTAGATTCAGCCACCTCCGAAAAAGCCCCGCGACTGCATGAGGCTTTGGGGGGACATCTAGACATAAAGCACAACAGAGTCAAACTGAGGAGCTGGTAAAGGATGTCAAGAAATTTCCCTGCAAATGTATTCCAATAACACTGTTTTCAGAGCTAATTCCTTCTTATGAAGGAGGAACTAAAAGCTTACAAAGTATAAATTGTGTAAAAATATGACATTACCATCCAAAAGCCATCACTCTGTCAAGTCAAGCTGTGTTAGACTTGAGTATCCCACCATTCCCTGTCTATTAAGGCCTTTCTCACATTTACCAAAGCCTCCCTGGCAGTGGTGACAAGAAGGGTTTTCTGAATTAGTCAACATTTTTAGTGTTAGGGACATTTTATCGAAAGCATGTTTGGGAAATGAAAGGCATTCTAGATTTCTTTTAGAAATCACCTATGCATGCTCCAATCCGTGACCTTAGGCAGCTTAATGATTTCATCATCAAACAGACATCCTTCTCCATATAACTAAATAAATGTCCTGTAGCCCAAAGACACCTGTTCAGTATTCCTCTGAGAACTTTTCTCTCCTTTGTTCATCTCGAATCATAAAACATGGCATGACACTGGCTTCAAACCAGCCATAAACAACATGTTGGAGTTTACTCCAAAAATGTCAAATAAATCAGAGCCTCAGGGATTCAGTGTCTACATGTAAACCCTTCCTTCATCTTCATTTTGTCCTGTTCTCCCAGCTCTCATTGGGTTCTTGTGCCTCAGAGCTACAAAATCTGATGATAAATAAACATCCTTTTTCTTTACTGTGACTGCTGAGTTGAGTACAGAGTATAAAAAGGAGCTGTGAGTTTCAAGTTACAAAGATTTCATGGGGAGTAAGCGAAAGAACGCAGCCTCCCAACACTCAGAAAACCTCTCTGTGAGATGGATAAAGGCCTCTGCACAAAAATGTTTTTACTTTGCGTAGGATATTATTGTACTTTTATGATATAGGACAGTACCAAATTGTCCCCAGGTTGATGTCGTAGAAGTTCAGAGATGAGCAAGTTTGTCTGGCTTAGAAGGGAAGGATGAAAGGGAGGTGACACTGTCTGTCCTGTAGCTGGAGAAGAGATGAAGAATCATGAGAAGCATTGGCTGTCAGAAGTCGACTTACTTCTAGAAAGTATCCAAGCAGAACCAGGAGCTCCAGGAGGCAGGAATAACGAGGTTCCAAGGAGGATGTCTTCACCTTCCATCCAAACACCAATGAGCACTACAAAATTATTTTAGGGGGATTCTATACCTAATTTCCAGA